GAGAGAGAGAGAGGAGAGGAGAGAGGACTGGGCCTGGTGTGGGCTTTTGAAACCTCAAAGCCTACCCCCCAGTGAGAAATTTCCTCCAAATAAGGGCACAGTTACTCCAACAAAGCTACACTTTGTAATCCTTCTCAACAGTTTCACTTCCTGGTGACTAGCATTCAAACTATCACACTCCCAAAGGTCCAAGGTGTTTCATCACAGCTATGATAATCCTTGGGGAAGGGGGGTATTAACATTGGCTCAGGGAAGTGGGAAGGCTCACTAGCTTCACTGCTCAAGTCACAGACAGTACACAGTTGCTGGTCTGGAAATGGGGAAGAGACTCTTCAGTTGCTTAGTTGCCTGTCATTAAGCAGGGTATTTTTTGGTTCAGATACCTTTGAATCATCCATGCTGCTTTCATAGCAACCCCCCTGCCCCCAAACATTACTGACTCATCAAGCTGGACTCTCTGTGGTTGATTGGTGCTCTGTCTAACTGGGATGAATAGACATAGATGTTTCAACGAATGTCATAGGACAGGTAGAGTGGAACTAGAGCAACCTTGTCTTGTGTCCTTATGGAGTCCTAAGGCAGAAAGTACATTACTCCATAAGATTTCTCAGTTCTGAATTTTATCCTTTCTGTCAAATAGAAAGATTTCTTCTCTTATACTCATTTGATTTTTTTAATTAAAAAATATATATTGATGCTTTGTCTGAATATCTGTGTACCATGTATGTGAATGATACATGTGGAGACCAGAAGAGGGAATCAGAGTCCCTGGATCCAGTGTTTACAAATGGTTATAGTTGGTTGCTGCGACTCAGACCTGGGATCCCAGGAGGAATAGCAAGTGCCTTTTACCTCTGAACCATCTCTTCAGCCCCTTGTACCCCATTTTAAAGGAAGAAAACACAAGATTACAGGTTTTAAATGGCTTCATGAAGTCACATGACCCATTTGCTGTCCTCAAGCCCTTGTTCCTAATATTTTTTCAATTTTTCCTTTGACACTTAGCACAGTAGTGGGATCAGCAGGCTTGGAGTTGGACAAGGGGACAAAGACTGGACATTCTGTTCCTTTCTGTTCTGATGAAGCTGCTTCCTACCCCAGGAAGCCATCTTTGCTACTTAGTTATTAAGCCAGGTATTGCCTCATATATATTATTAGCATCTGACCTCCACACCTGCTCCAGTACATGCAGTCCAGCTTTTTCTAGCCAGACACATCTGTTGTGTGATATGTTGCTTGTGTTCTGACAAATGAAGCTTGTCTGGTGATGATAGGGTGGAGCTAGCCACTAGTTAATCATAGAGGTCTAGGGGTCTATACAGACAGGAGATAGGAAGTTTTTACTAGGCTAGGCAGAGACAGGAAGTAATAAGGTGAAGTGGAGACAAAATCTTGGCCCTTTTGGTCTGAGGATGCAGAGAGGTAAGAAGTCTCTGGTGTCTGCTGCTCTGTTTCTCTGATCTTTTGCTCTGATATCTGACTCTGGGTTTTATTGATAAGACTGATTAGGATCATGCTTCATCTAGCATCCAACTTTGGTGGCATGAATTCATGAAAATCCACTTTGCCACCAGCCTACACTGGAGCTGCACATGGGAGCTCCCATCAGAGTCATTGCCTCACCAGCTAGGTTCCCCCTCCTCCCCGCCCCAGGCCCTCTGAGCAAGTCTGGGATTTCTCTGTTGCAGCCTCTCTGGTGTAAACTCCACAGGTACTTGGAATCCAAATGCAACCAGAGTTAGCCCCTCACTGCTGGCCAGCTCTGCCTTTAGGCAGCTCTACCATACATGCTTCTTCCCCCACAACCCCCTGCGTGCATTTTTCAGACAGCTGGCTTTCTCTCCAAGTGGGTTGTGGGCTTTTACTGGACCTCCTCCTGGGTTGCTGCCATACTAGGTAGCTGTCTTGACACCGCTCAGGCTTCCACTGTTCTACACAGTAGCAGTTAGCCTAACACTTCATCATCATCTTCACCATCATCTGTTGTTCAAATTTTAGATGGTCTTTTAATAAAAATACCAGAGGCATATATCAGGGTGAAAGCTGAAAGATCAAAGGAGCAGAGCAGCCAGCCACTAGTTCCTACATCTATGAAATTCTTAGTCTAAAGAGAGTTGGTTCCTGTTTCCTCATACCTTATATACCTTTCTCTGCTCTGCCATATTGCTTGCTGGGATTAAAGGCGTGTGTTTCCCAAGCAAAGGCATGAGATCTCAAGTGCTGGGATTAAAGGTGTGTGTCACAACTGCCTGGCTCTTTTTCTCACCTATACTGGATCAATCTCATGTAGCCCTGTGTGTCCTTGAACTCACAGAGATCCAGATAGATCTCTGCCTCCCAAGTGATAGGACTAAAGGTGTGTGCCACCAGTACTGACCTCTGTGTCTAATCTAGTGGTTGGCTCTATCCTCTGATCCTCAGGCAAGTTTATTAGGGCACACACTATATGACCACAATCACCATCAGCAGATTTGGTGAGACAATAGGGAACTGGTGAGACAACTGACAATTAGGGGAAATTAGTTAAAAAAAAGAGAGAGAGTTTTTTTTCCCACACTAAAACATGGAAAGCATTATTACAATGGAGGAAGTTAGGTCTCTGCATGATTACACAATGGATGTTCTAAATATGGAACAATTAATTGAAAAGATAATCAACTTAACTGGGATTGACATAATGTTAATTATTATTTTGATAATTCTTGTTTTATCCCTATAAAAGTTGGTTGATATGAGTGCCAAGATGCAAGCCTTAGAAAAACTTATTAAAATAGATCATAGAGATATTCAGACCCAGACAGAGGAATTTAAAGGAGAACCAACCTCACCACTACATTATAAAATTAGAGAGGAACATCCCAAAGTTATCAAACAACCAACCTTATTTTAACCAGTCATCTTATGGAACAACTACCAAATGATGAGTATCCCCAAGGCTATGCAAAAGCTGACTGGACTCCTGTGGAAGTTAGATTTGAGGAAATTTAAGGAAGCACTATCATATGATATGAATTAAGCACAACACTTTGGGCTCACCAAGACAGGATAGATAATGGAGTATTTTCTCTGAATTTGTTAAATGCTAGTGGACTAGATATTGTTAATATAATTATTGCCTGTATATATTTGTATATAGTTATTGTGCTTATTGCATATAGTTTTCTATGGTAGTTAAAATCTTTGCTTTTTATTTAGACAAAAAGGGGGAAATGTGTGATATTTTGTTTGTGTTCTGACAAATAAAGCTTTCCTGGAGATCAGAGGGCAGAGCTAGCCACTAGTTAACCATAGAAGCCTAGAGGTCATTACAGACAGGAGACAGGAAATGATTAGGCCGAATGGAGACAGGAAGTGATACGATGGGGCAGAAACAAGATCTTGGCCCTTTTGGTCTGAGGATTTGGAGAGGTAAATAGTCACTGGTGGCTGCTGCTCAGCTTCTCTGACCTTTCAGCTTTTACCACAATATCTGACTCTTGGTTTTTTTGATAAGACTAATTAGGATCATGCTTTACATACCTCCATAAGAACAAGGTATTTTGCATCCTTCTCCTTCTCTGTTCTAAGTCTCTTAAAGTCTTGTCTGATTTTAAATGTTCACTGTAGCACATTGACTTCCATGTCTCTTTGTAGGAGAGTGTTGAGAGAAGATTCACTTTCTGAGATGCCTTTAATATAATAACTTCCTTTCCTGCCATATGGCTTGTACTCAAGGTATCAGGCAGAAATAAAAATGGGAAGGAATATTAGAACATCGTGAAGATGAGAAGGAGTACTGGAACATCCAGAATCAGTGAGAAATGATGGTTGTAATTGCAACCAACAAATCTTTGTATAATTCTTGAATAGGAAGAGACTAAATTTATATAAAATTTTCTATGAACATTTAAAACAGGGATGCAAATTTCATGGGTAGACATTTCTATTAGGAGTCAGTCAGCTACTCCCAGTATTTTGGTTCATTGTGATAATATACTTGGTCTTGTAAATAAAATATCTGGTGTGTTGAGATCATGCTGTGCCCTGCTCTCAGTTACTCCATACAGTGCAGAACAGAGGTTTTTCCCCCTGTGCTTTGCCCTGATACCCTTCATTTTACAAGTAAGTTTTGGCTCCACTTTGAGTATAGAAGATAACAGTGTACCTGTGCTGTGGGATGTTCTGTATGGCAAATGTGTTGCTGATTAGTCAATAAATAAAACACTGATTGGCCATTGGCTAGGTAGGAAGTGTAGGCGGGACAAGGAGGAGAATAAAGCTGGGAAGTGGAAGACTGAGTCAGAGAGACACTGCCAGCCACCACGATGACAAACAGCATGTGAAGATGCCGGTAAGCCATGAGCCATGTGGCAAGGTATAGATTAATGGAAATGGATTAATTTAAGCTGTAAGAACAGTTAGCAAGAAGCCTGCCACGGCCATACAGTTTGTAACCAATATAAGTCTCTGTGTTTACTTGGTTGGGTCTGACGGCTGTGGGACTGGCAGGTGATAGAGATTTGTCCTGACTGTGGGCCAGGCAGGAAAACTCTAGCTACATACCTGGGTGAACATATGAATGAAGCCATCTTTCTGTCACCACTCACGGAGCAATGATTGATAAGTAACTTATTCTAAATTGTAGAAAGAAAGCCAACCCAGAAATTTATTGGCATGAACTGGTATTGTAGGGGCACATGGGTATATTAGAACATATTGGGAAATATGTTTTCACTTTGTGTACAGAAGCATGTCTTTTGCCCAAGTAAAATTTGGTCTCATCTTGAGAATAAGCACCTTTAATTTTCAGAAGAGCCTTGTTCTTTCTTTAGTTTTGGAGTCTCCACTTACTTCCAGGAAAATGACCTCACACCATAGCCTTCCAGACATAGTTGTCTATCAGAAGTTCTACTCACAGCAAGCCTCCACAGGCTATGAGATAAAGAAAAGATCTCTACTGCTTTCAAATGAACCAATTTAGCATCCAGAAGCAAATGCACATTTATGAAGGAGGCATGAAGCAAATTGAATATATAATTTTATGATATGACTTAATGATTTCCATGCTGTTTCTAATCCACCATTTCATGTTTCCAAAAACTTTCTTTACAGGAGGAACCATCATTCTCATTGCAACTCTCAGATGAAAAGATTTATAAGTAATTTATCCACCATCAATTTGGAGATCACAGCAGTCCAGGACATGGATCCAATAACCTTAGCCTAATTCCTCTTCTTCTCATCTTTCCCCAGTCACCTTCCTTCTCTCCCTTTACATATGTGTTGCCCCAGTGGCTCAGAGCATTCCTCAGTTCTTCCTGCTCTTCTTTCTCTTTCTGTGTCTGACATCACAGTCTGGGGACAGCACAGAGGTGGTGGCTGGCCGGGGAAAGGGTGATGCTCATTCTGAATTTCAGGCTCAGCTTCTCGTTGACTGGTGGCTTGAAGGTAAACTTTTGCACAAGAGTAGTGAAGAAAATAAAGAGCTCAGACCTGGCCAGTTGTTCTCCGGGGCAAGCTCGCTTTCCTGCAGGAAATAAAACAAGATGAGATACTTTCTCAGCTGCCATTGATGCATGCAGGGACTGGTGTTTCCATTTTCCTCCTTCAAATCCTGAACTGTCCCTGGGCTTTGTGTCCAGCTGTTTATTTACGTCCCATATGTGTCTGAATGTGGAATGTTCCACTGAATGTGGAACTCCAAGGTCACAGTCTTCATGTGGGACAATAGAAAGGAGAGGCCTGAGCTGGCTGAGAGAATGTATGACTAGTCTCAAGGCTTTTCTAATTCACTTAACAAACATATATGATATAGCACACAATGGCTTAACAGCAAAATCATGGACTGCTATAGAACCCTTTTGAGGAGAGATAGCTTAATGATTAAGGTTATTTACTACTCTATCAGAGGACTGGAGTACCGATCTCAGCACCCACATCAGGAGGTGCACAAACCCCTGCAACTCAAGATCCAAGAGATTGAATGCCCCTTTATGGCCTCCATGGGCACCATCACACACATACATGTAATATATGCACACAAAGACAGATTCCCACATACATAAATAAAATAAAATAAATCTTAGAGAATGAAAAATATAAGCAGGTCCTAGAGCTGAATCCCTAACGTGAAAGCCAGAGTCATACAGGTTGCCCTTGCAGAGGTTCTAGCTTGAAAATGGCAGGCAATTAGAAACAGATGAAGTGTGGGGCAACTAGAAACAGATCAAGGCTTGACATCTCTGCGTCCATTTTGTAACTGTCTCCTGTCTCAAACATTGAGTCAGATTCCTGCTCAACTCTACAGACAGGCATGTCCATCATTTAGTAAGTGCACACGCAAACTTGACCATCATCCCTTTCAAGGATCAAGATAGGAGGATCTAAGGTGTGGCTCTCAAATTGATAACAGCCAGCAATCCTCCTGCAGAGCCTTGGAGTGGCACCCAGAAGTCTTCACTCATTCTCTTAATATCATTCAAGAGTAGCAGAGCCTTGCTTGGTGAGACTGTCCTCTAAGCAGGACCTGTCATCTCATAGAGGACAACTGCTTGGCTTCCCTTAAGAACCTCTGCTCTGACAGGACCACATCCTGCAAAGAAAATGGAGAGTGCTGCTCACTGTCTGCATGAGCAGTGGAGATTTGCTCAGCACCAAATGCAAATTGCTCCTAGAAGTGGCTGTTGTCTGAAGATTAATGTCCTGTGTGACCAGAACTGAGATAATAATCAGCAAGGTTCAATGTGACAAAGATCAAGGTGGCCTCAGAGTACATATGCTTCTTCCCACCCTTTTGGTATAATCTGAGCACTCATGTCCACAGACTTGAAGACATGTTAGGCAGCTGTATGTTCCTCTACTTCCCTGTATCATAGAAAATATAAAATTAATTGCCTGTCTTTCTTCATTATATCTTGCTTAATTTCTGGAGAAAACATTAGTGGGACTATCTCATGCCACAAATCTTTTCCTGGTTTAGGATTCTGGTTACATTGTCCTTCATCTTAGGCACCTCTACCATATCGATGGTTAACACATGACATGACACCATTGATTTCAGATGCTATGCTTAGCTGTGGTGTCTTTTTGTCCTCTTCACATGGGGCATGCGTCCTCAACCTTTGCATAACTTTCAAGTGTTTATTTTCTTAAAGATGATAGAAGGTATTTTTCTAATTATCTCCTTGTCTACCTAATGGGCAGACTGGGGCCATAAGCATCTGCCTTGTTGGGAAGACATGACTCATGTAACATGGTGTTCTCATCTAACCTCTGCTGGCAGTTGGTTTTGAGATTTTATCATTGGGGAACACTTGGTGATGATGGTGTCTACCATGTTCTTCCTTAAACAGCATTTTGATTTTTGTAAGTGAACATATTTTGAGACTGTTAATAAACCAATCTTCATCTGCATGTTTCTATTGGTATTTCTCTTCCAAATTTTGCATGTAGCTGAAAAAATTGTGACATTAAAATTCTACACATCTCTTATATATATTGCCATTCTTAAAAAAACTAATCTTTATTTTTATTTTATGTATGTTGGTGTTTTGTCTGCATGTATGTCTTTGCACCACATGTGTATAGTGTCCATTGTGGCCAGAAGAAGGGGTCAGATCCCCTGAGACTGGAACTAGAGATGGTTGTGAGCTGCCATGTGGGTACTGGGAATTGAATCTGGGTCCTCTGGAAGAGCAAACAGTGCTCTTAACCACTGAGACACCTACATCTCAAGGCCCTGTGTTGACATTCTAACATTGGTCATGCTCTCTCTATTTAATCACTCATGAATATCAGTAAGTGTTACAACCTGTTGCTAACCAGTACTTGTTTTAAAACCCCAAACATTTCTGACTTGGCCATTCAAGCTGGCATTTTCTGATTTTTGGATAACAATGTATTCAAAACTTACAGTTTTTCCTTCTCTGGGATTGAATTTTGTCATTTTCCAGAAGTCCTGCTTCTTTTTTTAATCAAACAATATTATGTACAATATAACATGAAAAACCTGGTCATGAAGCTTAGTGTCAGTCATGGAGTGACAGTTCCCAAATTGGACTCAATAGGTCTTTGTACTTCTGTTTTGTCTCTAGAGATATTTATCACAACTGTATGAGCATCCAGGATAAGATATAAAGCAGGAGAACCAAGATTATCTCAGCTACTGACCCCTTGTGGAAAGCGGTGAGCAGTAACAGGTTCTTATGAAGTAATACAGATTGTGACTGCTTATTATACAGAAAGATGTTGACTAATACACAGGACATGACTTAACAAAACTTAAAATGGATGGGCCCATAACTCAGGTGGCAAGTTACAGTCTGGATATAATATAAAGAGAACTAAACTTCAAGTTAAAACTTAAGTCTTGGACCCTGTTCTGTCAATTCTTTGGGCACGTGATCTTGAATAAGAAAGAACTCTCTTTTTACCTCTCCTTGTTTGGAGTTTGCTTATGGGGCGATAGTAAACATTTATTTTTCCTAATTATTAATAACTACATTGCTGTGGTAATTATGTGACACAATTGGCCTGTTAAATAAAGTGTATAATTTAGAGTAAATGATAGCAATCTTAATAGTAGCACCAATGTCTCTGCGTGTTGCCACTTTTATTTTATAGCTGGGGCAGATGGGAGAATTGTTTAAGCTGGGTGAGGCCTAAGGCCCCTATTGGAAGAGGATTTTTTTTTTTTTGGTTTTTCGAGACAGGGTTTCTCTGTGTAGTTTTGCGCCTTTCCTGGAACTCACTTGGTAGACCAGGCTGGCCTCGAACTCACAGAGATCCGCCTGGCTCTGCCTCCCGAGTGCTGGGATTAAAGGCGTGCGCCACCACCGCCCGGCTTGGAAGAGGATTTTTATAGTGAGGAGAAGGCATGTTCAAGGGCAGCAATGGGCCTGGAGGAACATCTTCCTGTGGAAGCCATTATGGGGATATACTCACATTCTTCTCACCACAGTCCTAGGAATTATAACACAAAGCATTTACTTGGAAAATAAAAAGGATCATATTCCTAGACTTTCCATATTTCATGGATCTGATTGATTAACTTAGAATAATTGAGTAAGTGAAATATGTAGCTGAGGTTTTGTACTATAATTCAAAACTTTAAAAATTTTAATAAACTGGAAGACTGGAAAGAGTCCCTGTATGTCATCAGCTTTCCTAGTAAAGTGAGTTGAGAACAGTGAACAAAGGAACAGACGGTCCCAGATGGAAAGACAAAGAGGTCAGAAGCAGCCCCTGAAAGACATATCCAGGGCAGTCCAGTCCCAAGCAACACTGGCTCTGGATCCACACTAGCATGCAGGCAAATGCAGGCTCCTCCCTTCCTGAGCCTCAATGTCATGAGAAGTGACATTGCCTCACACAATCCGACAAACTCAATAACATGTCAAGCATTCCAGTGTGGCTTCTGGGCATCATTTAGTCACCTTCTGAGGACAGTGTTTGGAAACACAGGCTTCAGTGGGAGAAAATCTGGTGGATATTGAGCTCTAGCTGTAGCACACTTGGCTAGATCTATGTCCTTACCTCTGCAGTGATGACTAATTTCAACTGGAAAGGCTACAGGGGGACACATGCTCCAAGGGGCAGCTCTGCTTCATCTTCTATCCCACTACTTTCCTGCTCTCAGGGTGAATGTTTGATAGGTAATAATTGCTTAGAACATATTTATCGAATTAAAGAATTGTAAGATTGCTGGAAAAAACATATGCAACATATATAAACCAATATTTGGAATATACTAGAACATTTGGTTATGGATTTAGCAACACTACTACTACAGTCTTTAGTAACTTGCCTGGCAGAAAACACAAGGGAGAAAGAGTCATCACTGCATTTCCTTTCTTGCTTATCAGGTGGTGTAGCAAATGCATGTACTAACTATATTTAACAAAGAAGATTGTAATTTACAAAGATAAGACCTATTTAGGCAGTGTTTATAGGATAGAAGCCAATTCACTTAAGCAAATGACAGTTAAAACTATTTAACAAGACAAGTTAAAAACATTAAGACTAAGCTCTCTTTCTTCCAAGGAGGCATTCCCTTAAAAAGAACTTGTGACACTCAAACTGCCTACACAATGGAAGTATTCAACTTTGCTGCTCAGCAAGAGACAGGGATTAGGTCTCTGCTGTCAGTGCTGTAGAAAACAGAACAAAGGAAGTTGAAATCTCCATCAGAAGCAAGGAAGCATTGATAGTGTATGTGTGGAGGTGCTGGACTGAAACCAATTGCAAAATGGAGATCTACTGGGAAGGCTCATCTGTAAGGATCCCAGAAAGAAGGGAAGGGATGAGGTGGAGCTCTGAACTCTCTCCTGTGCATCACAACTCACCCATTGAGAAAGGCAGGAAAGATTCTCTCTTCTTAAACTGTCCATTCTCCAAAAAGTGCTCTGGATTGAAGATGTCTGGGGTGGCCCATTCTTTGGGATCCATGTGCAGTGCAGTCAAATTGGTATGGACTAAGGTACCCTAGGGAAGGTAGTAAAGACTCAAGACAATGTATGGACAAGACACAGACAGATGGCTGGTGGTTATCAGACTTCCATGCTTGAGCCTACTTACCTTTGGCAGGTGGAATCCAGCCAATGTAGTGTCAACTGTCACTTCCCTGGGAACATTTAGAGGGATGATATTTCCCATTCTCAGCACCTCATGGACAACAGCAGTGGTGTAGGGCATGGAGTCTCGGTCAGCCAGGCTGGGCTGCTTCTCCTGGCCAATCACTCTGTCAATTTCAGCCTGTACTTTTTCTTCAAGGAAACAAGAGGCTGCATTAAGTTTTAAACTTCAATGCTTTCTTCTAAAGATAGAGAAAGCTGTCTTCTAAAACTTATTTGCTTTTATTTTATCTAGTGTCCTGATTGTGAGGAAATAAAAGTTCTCTAACTTTAAAAAGCCTGATTTAGAAAACTGTAAACTCTATACCTTTCTTCAAGCCTACAGCATAACTATGAATTTATATATATCCTGAAGTTAATAATCATGATGGCCATGGTTGAGCTCATATCAGTGTCTATTCAGACATCTATAAAAATACTTTTTACTGAAAAGATTATCATCAGTACACTTCTGCTTTTTTTACTTGTAGATTCTGTGAATTCTAAGATTAGGACATCAACAGATTTCTTGTCTGGTAAGGACCAATTTCTTTGTCATAGTTGAGAAATCCTTGTTGTATCATCATGCTATAGGGTGGAAATGTGGGGCATTTACCCACCGCCCCTACAGTTCCCCAGAGTTTTCTTGAGTGTGAGCAGCAGGAAATATTAGATAGAAGGATTTATTGCGGAGAATCTTGCGGAGATAAACAGATAGAAAATACAGGATAGCCTCGAGAGGGCCTGAAAACTTTTCCAACGGGCCCGACTGTCTCTGCCCCAGGGTTTTTATAGAGACGCCAAGGGGTGGAATAAAAGACCTCCTCCCCCAGCACAGCCAAGTACAGACCATCTCAGACACCTGCACTCAGGCCTGTGGTCCTAATCATCCTCTATGCGGACCTGCTGGGTAAAGCCACAAGGAACCCGAGAACGGGCTCCCAAAGGTCCCCCTTTCTTTCTTTTTTTTTTTGGTTTTTCGAGACAGGGTTTCTCTGTGTAGCTTTGCGCCTTTCCTGGAACTCACTTGGTAGCCCAGGCTGGCCTCGAACTCACAGAGATCCGCCTGGCTCTGCCTCCCGAGTGCTGGGATTAAAGGCGTGCGCCACCACCGCCCGGCTCCCCCTTTCTTAATATATAAAAAAATAACTATTAATGGCTTACAGCAATCTCTATAGCTGTTACACCTCCCAGTATGGGAGTAGAGGATGATATATATGGCATTTCTCTTTTGAATTAGGTCCAAGGTGACTACAGCAGTCTTAGCTGCCTCAAGACCTTTCTAAACCAAAAGCTTTTAAGGCAACTACAAACTTAAAGAATCCCTTAACTTCATCATTACCATTAACAGGTTAACATAAATATTGCTATACATAGTCACAATTCTCTCAATCTTACAACTCAAAGCAAACTCTTAACAGAACCATTTGAATTAGCATATATGGTGCTATATATAGTTAACAATTTTCTCCGTCTTACAACTTTAACTCAATCATTTGAATTTTCTTGCTAACAGAACACAGGAAAAACTTTGATGTATTCACATCAAACTTAAATATTTCCTTAAGTCCACAAAACCAGGGTACATTAATATCAATAGGTTAAACATAATTTCTGCAAACATAATTCAACCTTAATTCCACTCATAACTCCTCCTTTTCTTTATAATTTAAAACAAAATCTCAAACCTAGTTAGAGGAACCCAAACTCATACAATTCCTACAAACCCATATTGAAAAGCAATCTTCTCAATCTAACCATTAACACTTTGAAAACTTAGCAAAACATCCAAAAGCAGTTTCTTAATAAAACTCTTTACACTTTAAAAGTAGTCTCTTAATATACCCCATTTGCATTTCTTACTAGCAAAATATGACATTAATCTACTCAAACAACAAAATATTTTTTAAACTAAATAGACTAAGGAATATTAACTCTCCCTTTTCTTTATGATTTTTTAAGCAAAATCAAGCCTAGTTAGAAAACCCAAAGTTGTCCATTTAAAGTTCCATTTGTAACATAAAACCACTTCTGTATGTAATTCCATTTTTACATAAATAGTTCCACAAAACAATTGCATTTAACACAGAATACATGAATCACCAGGCTGTATGCATACACAAAACTGCATCTTGAGTCAAGGTAGAAACAATAAATTTCTTCATTTAAACAGTTCCATTTTTAACCCAATTCCAGAAAACAGTTCCTAGGTCATTACTATAAGTAAACTCAAAATTGTCCCATTGCAATTGCATTCTATTGTTCATTTCATTTCTTAAGTCCCAAAATTCAAATGATAAATTCTGGCACTAGCCTTCCAAATATGAAGAAATCCATAACCAAAATCTTTTTGTAGTTTTATCTCATTTTAAGTTCAAAAAGTTCAAACAAGAAATAAATTTTGGTATCAGGCTTTCACTTCCAAATATGAAGAGACGTTTTACAACCAAAACTTTTTGCAGTTAACAATTTTAGTTCAAACAAGCATCTCTGCAACTTTTATTCTCAAGCCAGAGACCCTTTTAGTTATAGTAATATTTTAAACTGCACCATTTTTGCTGTTAGCTCAGGTTTTTCTGTGTTGCGTTGATTTTCCACGGATCTCAGTTGCGGATGACTTGTTGTGCTGGTTCTGGCATCCGCCATTCTTAGCTTCTTAGCGGCTGGAAATTTTGAAAACCACTCAGACTGCCTGCTTTGCAGTCTCCTAGGACACTAACTTCTGTATCTCAGGTTCTTTCACCATATACATTAAGAATAGACTCACACTTAACATTTACACTTTTTTACAAACTCACATATGACATTTTTTCAAAGCATTTAGACTCACATTCAACATTTACATGATTTTACAAACTCATAACATTAACATCTACTTATTTATACTCCTTAAGGAAACTATAGAACTACTTTAGCAAATATATTTCTTGTTACTTCTTATATGTTTCTTATATTCATTCCATCTTATTCTTATTTAAACTTACATTTACAACTAGCATCTTTACTTCTTACAAGCTTACTACTATATGTCTTAAGATTACCTTAGATACTTCTTGCAAGTTTATATACTTAAAGGAACTCTATAGATCTATTTTACAAACTTATATAGGGCTACATTAGCATATATTTAACTTCGCAAACACCTAAAGATTTCTTAACACAGATCTAACAAGACAGAATTTCTACAAACTCACATATCTTATTTTCATCTTTTTTTACTTCTTACTCTTAATTATTATCAATATCTCTATTAGATTCTCTTAACTAGACAGGAAGTACGTATATCATTTCTAAAGTTTAGAGTTTATAGTCAGCTTTGCTATAAAGCACTGGGATTTAGAGAGTGTTGTTGTTATAGAATTGTGATAGTTGTTGCTAGGGGACTGTAACCTTCCCAGGATGAAGCCACACCCCAAAGTTGCCGAGTTCTCTCAGACATTTGTGAACCAGCAGAGATGCACTGTCAGCGGTAGACCGTTTTTAACTAGAGGCTGTCCCTTCACCCAAATTCATAGTAGCTCCCCTAATTGCTTTAATTCAGACAAACGTTTCTATTACAGCAGTGCTTTCTTTTGTTTTGTTCTACTGGAAAACTTCACTTCATGCTGAGGGTGAAATTACCATATTTAGCTGCTGTAAAGCTCTTTGCCAAAAACTGCACAGCTATTAGGTGATATAAAGTATTTTTCTAAAGGAGCTAGTAAAGCCAAAAGTGGCACAGCTCCGAACTCTATTTCCTCACTGTTTGCATTAACCAGTGATAAAACCTCAGAAACACTAATAGAGCCACTTTCATTCTGGTTCCTTTATAGGAACGTCATTGGAGCTGACCCTTCCTTAGTTCCACGCTCCTTAACCAGACACTCCGGTAACCACTGAGCTTCATTCTCCTCTTGTGAAAAAACAAACATGTCCTCGACCCCATATTAAAACAGGATCGGGACCCTTCCATAATCCCGAGCAGGGATCTTTCCATTTCACTTGAGCAAAAGTCGCTTGGGTGCCACTGTGCCAAAATCTATCTGCGGCAGACTGCTCACTGACATCCATATTCAAAAAGTTCAGAACAAAAAGAGCATGATTTATTTAATACATTATGTGGAGATTGAGGGTAAATTTCTTCCTATTATTTTTTGAAGTTGTATTTTAAGACTGCTATGAGTCCTTTCCACAATACCTTGTCCCTGAGGATCATAAGTAATGCCTGTTTTATGTACGATTTCCCATTGGGTACAAAATTATTGAAATGCCTTACTACTATATCCAAAACCATTATCAGTTTTAATAATTTTGTATACTCATATATGAAAAACATTTCAAGCATACATAATTACATGTTTTGTAGCTTCCCCAGGTTGTGCACTAGCCATTAAAAATACCGAATAAGTGTCAATGGTCACATGTACATATCTTAATTTGCCAAATTCTACAATATGTGTAACATCCATTTGCCATAGATAATTGGGAAGAAGACCTCGAGGGTTTGCCCCTAAGTGAGAGATAGGAAAATATTTTGGACATATCCCACATCGTTTAACTATTTTGATGATGAAGAGCATGTGACTGTTGAGCCATTTCCACTTGGGATAATGCTACTATCTTTGTTAACTTATCAGCCATTGCATTACCCTCAGCTAAAGGACCACGAAGATAGGAGTGAGCTCTAATATGGCCCACAAAGCATGGCAGCTTTCTTTTGTGAATAGTGTCTTGAATTTGTTGAAACATTTTGACTTGATGGTTGTTAGTTCCAATATTTTCACCAAAACTGTTACTATTCAAAGGAGTCAAGAATAGATGTTCTTTCATGAAACATTTCCTTCATTAGTTTACTTTGAGAAAAAGCATTTTCAGGATTTAGTATTTTCACTTCATTAGCTTTAACTCCTGATATTATTAGCAGCTGTGATATTTAGTATTGATTTCTTACAAGGAACTTTCAGGTGAAGCAACTATTTTTTTAAGACAGATTTTTCTGAAGTTTGTTCCCCATCTATAAAGCAGTCATTTCTTTTTTGAATGCCTGTTTCCTTGTCTCCTTATTAGATTTGCAAAGGAATTACTCATTGCAGGCAGTTTGTTCAAAAGGCAAAGAACTTTTAATTTCAACATAAGTTTCTTCATATCTAAAACAATATTCAGTGTATAAACTG